GCATTTCTTGTCCTCCAAACATGGCAGGTCGAGCTAGATTTTTCTTCCATCTGACCACAGCCCTTTCTCTGAAGCCTTCTCTGACTCATGTAGATGTTTACTGGCAAACTTAAGACAGGCCTGTTCATGTGCCTTCTCGAGACTGGGGAATTTGCAGACACTGCAACATTATGATTCAATCCAATTTTATTTGCATAGCACAAAATCACAACAGTTGCCTCAAGACATTTTCTGTTTTAAGACCTTACAATGACACATAGAAAACCCCAACATTCAAATGACCCCCTATGAACAACACTTGGTAATGTTGGGAAGGAAAACAAGAAGACGCCTCAGGCAGAACCAGACTCAGGGAGGGGCAGCCATCTGTCACAGCTTGTTTGTCAGTGCATCATGGAAGACACCAGCAACATGGGGATTCAGGGTCACCTGATCCAACCGTAGCTGTAGGCGTCATCAAAAGGGAAAGTTTAAATTCTAATCTTAAAAGTAGAGGGTGTCTGTCTCCAGTCTAAACTGGACGCTGGTTCCACAGGGGTCTGAAAGTTGACGGCTCGGTCAACAGTGTTCTTAATGAATGTGGTCCCACCTCATGCGCCATGATTTTGCATGGAGCTCTAGACTGAAGGCGATTGATGTTGGTTTGATATTTTTTTCCATTTACGAATAAGTTGCCACCTTCTCACCCAACAAGCACTTTCTATCCGCTCTTTCCTATCGAACATTCATACGGAGAGCAACTTTGGGTTAATATTTTGCCCGAGGATATTTGGCATGCAGACTGGAGCAGCCAGGGATTTTTCCCTAAGCCACCCCCAAGTTTACAGCACCTGAAATTCCCAGGCGGTTTCTATCCAAATGCTAACCAGGCCCGACCCTGCTTAGCCTCCGAGATCAGACAAGCTCAGGCGTGCTCAGGGTGCTATGCAGGTCTACAGTATTGTCCCTGACGTCCTTTGACGGCTCTTTGGTCATGCCCATGGTGGCGCAGAGGAAAAGAAATCAATTCTGTGATCAAGTTTGATGTATATGCCTAATATTTTGATATCAGGAGTATCTGTAATTGATTTATTGTCATCTTTGGGGGCCAGAATCCTGGCTGTGTTATATTGGATCAAATACTTATTTCACTTAGTGACATGTAAATCATTTTGTAACTTTTACGCAATGTGTTTTTTCAAACTTTTGGTTGATATTGAATCATAAATATTTTGTTCTTTGTTTTCACCGAAGCACTACAAATTGCTTAGTTTTTCTCTTTACCACGTTTGGCAGTCAGATCACCAAATAGAAGGTTGTAATAACCCCCATTAACCTTCTTGAATCTCTTCTTATGCACCTAAATGGCGTTAAATGTGTGTGTGGGGCTTCCTCAGGTGACCAGCTCTCCAGTCTCAATGGATATGAACGGCCTGTCAGTTCCCACAGAGTTCCTGTCACGTCACAACTCTGATGGTGTCATCACTTTTGTGGATCCACGCTGCATCAGTGTCATTGGTTATCAGCCTCAGGTCAGACTTTGTACT